ATATATATATATATATATACATACATACATAAATATATATATTATATATATATTTATGTATGTATATATATATATATATATATATATTTATGTATGTATATATATATATTATATATATATATATTAGATGTATATATATTAGATTATATATATTAGATACTTCATCATTATTGTGACTGTTGTAAATAATGGCACTTTAATCTCTAATTATTATTATTATATACATACATATATAAATGCTTTTGTAAAAATATTTAATTTTACAAACAACTGGTCTTAATTTTACAAGAATTTTTTATACTATTTGAAAAACAAAATCTTTAAGTATCGTGTTAAAATACAGCCATCTGAATATCTGTTTCAGTATTCCGATTGTTATTAGAACAAAATGAAAAAGGCAATCAGTTGGCAAATAATTCTCAATCATTTGATGCAATTAGACAAATATCTCAATCATTTGGTGCAATCTTTTGACTAGAATTTAATAAATTTCTAGCAAAATCTCAAGCTCCTTGAAATGTTTTGGGTTAACTAAGATGGCAGCCGTTTTAAAAACTGGCTTTAAAAAAGTCATGTGACACTGTCTTTTATTTATTAAACCTCCTTGGTTGCTACACACTTGTTTGACAAAGACAAAATATTACTAATTTTGTAAAACTAGCCTATAAATCATATTAAACTTGGCGATCGAGACAAAAAGTGGGCTCCACATACTGTGTGCCATATTTGTGAAGAAAGTCTTCGAGATTGGACAATAGAAAAAAGAAAGAATTTACCAAATCACATTGACGACTGCTATCTTTGTCTTATTAATACTACTGGTATTGGCAAAATAAAGAGACAAAAAATAGCTTATCCCAACATTCCTTCTGTTATTAGACCAATTCAACATTCTAACGAGATTCCATTCCCAATTTTTAAAGTTTTATTTTTGTCAGAAAATGAACAAAGCATGTCAGCTGCAGACACAGAAGAATTTTTACCAGATTTGGAAGACTTCTCATCTAATACTAAACAATTCAATTTGCCTAAGTTTTTAGTCATGACTTAGTTCATGATTTAGGACTTTCAAGCAAGCAGCAAAAGTATTAGTGTCACTTTTAAAGGAAAAAAACCTACTCGATAGGTTTGCGAAAGTTTCTTACTTTACAACAAGAGATGAAACTTTTGTTAACTTTTTTTCAGAAGCCAATTTATTTGTTTACTGTCATGATATTTCAGATCTCTTATTACAGTTGGGTATTTCTGTATACAATCCAATTGCAAGAATCTCAGAGTGGGCATGCACAATATTGTGAATGAGCCCATTGTTAATCGAAATAAAATAGTTTTTCCAACAGTCGATCTTAAACTTGGATTCATGAAACAATTTGTTAAAGCACTGAAAACTGATAGTGATTGTTTTTAGCATATAGTTATATCATTAGCAGGTTTGTCAATATAGAAAAAAAAGGCAGGAACTTTTAATGGGCCTTAGATTCGCTATCTTATAAAAGATAAAGAATTTATTAAAACAATGAATATTAAAGAGAAAATGGCTTGGTTGTCATTTGTTGTTATTGTAAAAAATTTACTTGAACATAAAAAAGTAGAAAACTATTAAGATTTAGTTGCTAAAATACAAGGCGAAGGATTCCATCAAGATCTTAAGACAATTGAAAATTATTAACAAGGATATACACACGATGGCAGACTACTGTTGGGAGATCAAGCAAGAGGAATCAGGAAAAGTCTATAAACGAAAGAAAGAGGTTCTTTGCTAGAACTTGGATAAAAAAATCAAAAAAAGTTTTTTTGCTAGAACTTGAATATTTATAAAATGTTTATTTTAAACAGTTCCCATTTTATTTTCGTCTGTTTTCTGCTTTTGCTTAAGTTTTGTAAACAACTTTTATTATAAATTGTGGCGGGATAGCTCAGATGGTTAGTGGCGGGATAGCTCAGATGGTTAGAGCGTTAAAAGAAAAGTTAAAACCCGGACTGTTGAACAATACGAGTTCAAATCCCGACACCGCCAACTCAGTGCTTGAGTAGTACTTCGGTACGCAAAAATGTTGGTCAATAACAGACGCTACTTTTGATTAGTCTTAATGACTATTTGTGGCTGTTTCTATGCTAAGCCAACAATATCTTCGGATATAAAAACATGTATAAAATATACATATAGCATGATTACTCAAATAAATAAATAAATAAAAAATAAATAAAATAAAATAAATAAGATATCTAGCATTTCCAAATGAGTTTCAAATCTGTATTTTAAAACTATTTCTAATTTTCGCAAAATAAAAAAACATTTATTGTAAAAAATCTAAATCTTTCCATAAAAATCTGATGCCAGATTTGAATTCAGGGTATCAAAATTATGTAAGGACGAGTGTCAAATTTAATGCAATAAATATTTTGTAGACCTGTGTAATAAGTAGTCTTTTCAGATATTTTAAGTATTATTTAAAATGGTTAAAATTACAAATAAACTAGTTATTTATTTGAAGAAAAACTTATAGAAAACTGAACTCAAATAACCTTTGCATCAAAAGATCAAGATACAAATTAACTCTATCTAAAAAATTTAATATTCGTACTGTTGATTCGCAAAATGTCATTTGACTTGTCAGGCCTTGCACGTTGATTTATATATACATTTATGTATATGTATATATATATATATATATATATATATATATATATATATATATATATATATATATATATATATATATACACCCTACTATAAATATATATATATATACATACATATATATACACTGTGTCAAAAAAGTTTTCATCCACTTACCTTGCACATTTTAAAAATGCAATAACTTTTTATTCAGCAAAGATGCAAGCATGATATAAACTAAATTATATCATTTAAACATTTAAGAAATATTGTACAAAAAAAGTTTTTTAAAGTAATGAGTTACAAATAAAATACAGCATTTTGGAATAAAAGATTGACATCTTTGTCTCAAAAAAGTTTTCATCCACTTTACAAAAATCAAATAAAATTGTCATACGAACTCAATTTATTAGTGTTTTAATAACTTGTGTTTCCACCACGAGCTTTTATTATTTCGTGTAGTCTGTTTTTCATTGAACAAACTAATTTTTTAGTAATTTCTGGAGTGATTAAGCCCCACTCTTTCATAATTACTAATTGGAGTTGTTGTTGATTCCTCACATCGTGGGTCCTAATTCTTCTACCCAATTCATCCCACAGATGATCAATAGGATTCAAATCTGGAGATTGTGGGGGTGTATGAAGTTGCTTAGCTATTTTAAATATAAGCCATTCCTTGACACGTTTGGCAGTATGTTTTGGATCGTTATCTTGCTGAAAAATAAATGACCTAGTAAGTCCCAAGTTGTGGGCACTTTCTTCCAGATTATTTTTTAGAATGTTTAAATACACATTTTGATCCATATTTCCATCAATGAAAACCAAGTTTCCTACACCTGAAGCACTCATACACCCCCACACTAAAACACTTCCTCCGCCATGCTTCACCGTTGGACACAAGTTTTGTTTTTTAAATGCTTCATTTGGTTTTCTCCAAACTTTAACTCTTCCATCTGATGAAAACACATTAAATTTTGATTCATCGCTGAAAAGGACCGATTCCCAGAATGTTTGTGGTTCATTGATATAAAGTTTTGCAAAGTGTAGTCGTTTGGCTTTGTTGACTTTGCTGATATAGGGCTTTTTCAATGGTACTCTACCATTGTATCCAGCTCTTCTTAAGGTTATTCTAACAGTTTCAGGGTCCACTTTTAAATTGTAATCATTTTGCAGCATTCCAGCGAGTTTTGGAGCACTTATTTTAGGATTCTGGATGACTGTTCTTAATATAGCTCGTCGATGCAATACTTGAATTTTATTTGGACGCCCTGTACGTGGCTTATCAGCAATTTTTTTGGTGGTTTGGTATTTCTTAATAATAGACTGCACAGTTGCACGTGATTTCTTTACTATTTTTCCTATATTTCACTATGATTTTCCCTCTTTCCATAGTCTAACAATAAGCAATCTAATTTCCTCTGCAACTCTCATTTTTATTAATAATCTAACAAAAATAAAAAATATAAAAAACTCATATAAAAAAAAAAAAATACAAAAATCTTACTAAATCTAATTTATATTTTAAAAATGATACTTTAATACTGATTTAATAACAAATTGAGGTTGGAGTGCAGGGTGGATGAAAACTTTTTTGGCGCAAAAACAGGCATTGTTTATGTTTAAATGTTGTATTTTAATTTCTATTCATTATTTTGTAAAATCTTTTTATACAATACTTCTTGAATGGTTAACTGATATAATTAAGTTGAAATTATGCTTATATCTTTGCTGAATGTAAAGTTATCACGTCTGAAAGATGTACAGGAAAGGTGGAGGAAAACTTTTTTGACACAGTGTATATATATATATATATATATATATATATATATATATATATATATATATATATATATATATATATATATATATATATACATATATATATATATATATATATACATATATATATATATATATATATATATATATATATATATATATATATATATATACACACTTACTAAAGCGTGTTTTGATAAGCATTTGCTCACTTTTTATGCTTACCTTAAGCTATAACATTTTTTCGAAAAAGAAGAAAAAACGAAGAATGATGAATGAAACGATTGTTTCCCCATCCCAAACCCTCAGTTGATGTAGCAGCACTCCACTGCGAGTCAGGCTATTTGTCAGTCGATGTATGTACTGAAGCCCCCAGCAGCAGGCTATTTCAGTATGACGCCAGATTGGTTACCTTTGTACGCAATACTATTTGTGTATATATATATATATATATATATATATATATATATATATATATATATATATATATATATATATATATATATATATATATATATATATATATATATATATATAATAACAATTATAAGAAGAAGAATTATAATTAAAATATATTTTAAAGAACATTGTTTTCATTTACTTTGTGTAGTTTGAAACATCCACTTTCACTTGGACTGTAAAAGCCAACAACTAAATTTTTCACTGTTTTATTGTTAACTGAAAGTAAAAAAAAAGAAAAATTTAAAATTTTGAAAACAAATTAAAATATTACTAATTTAAAATATTACAACTATTTAAAATTTTGATAACAAATTTAGCAATGGAGAGTTTTAACAAAAAAAATTTCTACGGTTAAAATTTTTTTTGTTTAAGAACTACTCAAAATTTATCCATATAAATTAAGATATAAAAGTAAAATTAAATATGCAGTTGAGCTGAATTTAGTTTTATCCATATTATTGTTACTTTTATTAATATTATTTTTGATAAGTTGTTTTAAAAGTTAAAACAACTTATCAAAAATAATATAGGGAATAAAGGAAAATTTTGAATAAAATAAAGAGAAAATTTGAGGGCATCCAATTTATTTTTTGCATTTTGTATTACTTTTATAAAGTACAACAAAGTTCTAAATTAATTAAATTAAAATTTAAGTTCTAAAATGGCTGTTTTTTGAAGTCATAAAAAAATTGGGATAGCTTTCATCTTTCTGGTCTAAGATATCTATATTGCTTAAAGTTATTTGTGATAAAAATAAGAATAGTCACAAATTTTTAGTAAGCAAATAAATGTATATGTAGCATAAAGATACATATCTTTATGCTACATTAAGACACATCTTTTTAAGATACATAAACTTTAAAACTGGCATGAAATCAGTCATACTGGAAAATCTATTGTTATATCAAAAAACTATTTGTTGTGATTTAACCTGGTAATTGCAGTAAACAAATATGAATTTATTTATATTGTAAGCATCAGTTAACTTCAATAAATAATTATTAGACAAATCTTTGCCTAAAAAATGAATTGTCTGAAATAAATGAAAAAAACTCATGTGTTGACAAGTGACAAGATCAACCTTTGCTTAAGTATTTGTAAATAAGATATATCAAACACTGATATTTGTATACACGCAGAGAAGTTGGAGAAGACAATAAACTGTGGGTGTGTGATAACATAAGCCAGCTGGACACATAAAGCATGCACAAGAGCAGATAATGCAAATCAATACATTTGCAATTTTTGAATTTTTGATCTTTTTGTAAATTAAATATTGCTATATATGTCATTTAATGACATTAATAGTGTTATTATCTTGTTATAAAAATATATAAAATATGTCAATATCATATGGTCAATATGCAATTTTTTTGGCTTCTTTTTTATTATGAAACAAAACTCTTTTTAAAAGAAAACAAATATGACAGCCACTACTCTAGTAAAAAAATTGTTAAGAAAATATATAGATAATTGGAATTTCTAGATATTAGGTTTATTTTGTGTTATATCTTTGACAGTTTTTTTATTAAAAAGATACACAAAAACTTTATTTTTAATTATCAAAAACAACTTAAAAACTAAAAATAAAAAAATCTACCATCTTTGTATTTTAATAATACAGTGTTTTATAACACAGTATTTTAAGTTTTATAATACAGTGATTCTATTACCTTCTTTTCACCTTATAGAATAAGACGAAGAAGAGGGTATTAGACGAGATTTGGGGCATGTTTGTATATTGGGCGTCAGCATCGGGTATAAGTAATACACCACATCAACACCCCGAATAAATAACAGATACATTTTTATTGTTCTACCAGCATTCCTGATTGGCGCTCTTACTTAGCAAACTTTCTGTAACTCATATATGAGTACCTTTTTTTTTTCTTCTTTCTAAGGTACCTACATTTTTTTTTGGCGCCCCTTGGATATCTGCCACCCGGGACAAACTGTCCCTCGCGAACCTCCCTCTCGGCGGCACTGTCTCTCTCTATAAAGAAAAATATTGTTTTTACCTAGACTATGTTGTAATTAAAAAATGTAAAAATTTACATTTTATAAGCATGAGGCAAATATATAAAGTGTCAGATTTAAAGGAGACAGCTAAGTCTTCCCATCTTGTTACAGGTATTTTTTGATAGATCTAATAGATTAATTTATTTCCAATTACCGGAAAATGTTCAAATGTCATCTATATAAGTAATGTTAAGACAAACCCCTAAGATGAAGGTTGCTATTATATTGGGCTTACAGAAAAAAACTTTTAAAGATCGCTTTTACAAGCATAAAAATTCCTTTCGTTATGAAAGTGGGTCAAACTCTACTGCACTTTCTAAATTTGTGTGGAGTGTTAAAAAGAAAGGTTTAAATCGTGGCAAATTATAGACCAGGCTGAACCGTTTAAACCTGGTGGTAAGTCATGCAATTTATGCTTGATAGAAAAATATCATATAATGTCATCCCCATTACCATTACTGAATAAGCGAAACGTACTTGCGTCTAAGTGTCAGCATGAAAATAAATACACGATGAATAACTAATGTCATCAAAGAGGACACTCCACAGTATTTTTAATATATTTTTTTGTCGTTGTTTTTGAGATCTGTAACATCTGATGATCGTTATTTGCGTGAAACTCCGAGTAATGTTTTAAATAAATCGGGTGTTATAATTATTTAGATTTTACTATATATATATATATATATATATATATATATATATATATATATATATATATATATATATATATATATATATATATATATATATATATATATATATATATATATATATATATAATTTTCATATTAGAAAATTCCTCCAAAAATATAAATTTCATATTAGAAAATTCTGCATTTATTTAAATGGAAATAGAAAACTAGGTAATAACAAACTTTTTACACATTTTCCCGCATTTGTAGCGAAAATTCGAAACAGAAACGTTTTGTTCTAAGAAAATATCTTTTGTAGTCATAATGTACACATTCAAAGGATTTTAACAATAACAATAACAACAATAACAAGGGGCCATCCATAAAGGACGTCACCATTTTTTAGCCAATTTTTGACCCCCTCCCCCCTCCTCTTTGTCACCGGTTGTCCTTTTTCCCAATACCCCCCTTGAAAAGGACGTAATAAAATCCTGAACCCCCCCCCCCCCTCTATTTTTAACTCCAAAAAAATTTATTTCATCTCGCAATGATGTTTGAATCTGCTGCTACAACTTTGAAAAATAAAATTAAAAATATTCTCATACATTATCTTCTTAAAAACACATGTTTACGTAGTTTTCCATGTTAACTAAACTAAACTAAAAAATCTATAAAGTGACGTCCTTTTCTGACAACCTCCCCTCCCCTTGTCCTTTTTTATCCTTTTTAACTCGATCCCCTCCCCCCCTATTTGGATGACGTTCTTTATGGATGGCCCCCAATATATTTCGTGTTACAGATGTTACAAAAACACAGGTCATTGCAAATAGTGATTCACTAATAAAGCGCAATGACCTAAATAAGATAAAAAATAATAATAACAATAATAATAATATGTAATAAGTAAAACTACATAAAAAAGTAGGCTATTTAATAATAGAACAACATGCCCACATGTTGTTCTATTATTAAAGTAGTTGTGAAATATAGTAGGAAGGACACCATGTTGTTGATCCCAGACAAATGAACAATTTAAAAATTAAATTAAATCATAGAAACGAAGAATTTTGGATGTAAGATATAGAATGTCAGTAAGAAAATTTCTCGGACAAAAATGAATAATCCGTACCGCTCTAATTTGAAGTGAAACATCTCTAGAGAGACACGGTTTTAGATTGTCCCCAAACTTGACATGCGTATCGTATATGTAAACCGAAAATTAAGTGATATATAGAAAGCAATATTTCAAAGTTAACGTAATGTCGAACTTTTGCTAACATGCCGTTGGAACGGCTTAACTTCAGAGTAAGGTCGGATATGTGTGTTTTGAATGAAAGTTTTTCATCTTAAAAAAAGTTTTTCATTTTTAATCGAAAGTTTAAGTATTTTTGAATATTTTTCTTAGTTTTTTTAGAAAAGTTAGTATTTCGAGTCTTAAATATAATTATTTCTGATTTTTTAGTATTCAATGAGATTTTATTTACTCTAAGCCATTGAACAAGACTGGCCATATCCTGATTAATATATTTATTAAGTTTTTTGAGAGAGTTTGTTATTAATTGAAGATTAGTATCATCAGCAAAATGATACGTTTTTGAATGTTTGATAGAAAGATTGAGATCATTAATATAGATAATAAAGAGAAGAGGACCTAATATGGATCCCTAAGGTATACTAATTGAAACATTTTTAACATATAAGCTGGTTCCATTTATAGTTACAAACTGTTGACGATCAGAAACGTATGATTTGAACCACTGCAAGGATATGCCACGTACACCATAATAGTTAAGCTTTTAGAGAAGAATTTCATAATCTACGTTGTCAAAAACTTTTCGCAAATCGATAAAAACCCCACAAGCAAAGTTGCCATTATCAAGAGCAACTCTTATACTTTCTGTAATTTCAATAAGAGCGTGAGCTGTCGAATACTTTTTACGAAAACCATTAAAATGGTTTGACATTTAATAACTTTTAGGATTGGTTTCGCATTTGTTGTTAATGAGTATGCTTGTTAGGGAATTACTATTATTTCGTTTAACATTTATCAACTCCTTTATACCTTTCCAGGTGTTTTTTATGCTATTGATGTTGTGGATAAAAAAGTTTGTGTAATATTTCTTTTTGCTAAACTTTAGAAGATTGCTTATACTATTACGATAGTGTTTAAATTTTTTTTAAATATATATATCTTTTATTCTACAGTTTTTTGATTTTAAATACTTTTTATGAAGTTTATTTTTAATTGTTATTGACTTGAAAATGTCTTTCGTTACCCAAGGTTGATTACGTTTAACTACTTGATTTTTTGTTAACTTTTTATAAGGAGCTTGTTTGTTTGAGAAATGATCAAACATAGTTTTGTGTATCAAAACAACTGTGACTTGGTGTATTAAAACAACTGTGAAAGGAGGGGGAAAAAGTTTTAAATTAACTGATTTCAACTTTGTGGAGCAATTGATTTGTTTTTATGAGTTAAAAATGTTTTTGGCAAAAACCAGTATGGCATCCCCTCCTCACTTGGAATCTACTCGCTCCGGCCCTCTTTCAAATATGTGTATACCTCGATATCTCCAGCAGTGACGACTGAACTATAAATGAACGGTGTATTCATAATAGAGAAATAGATGGCATCATGTTTTCCGAACATGTCTATACTCTACAAAAACAAATTCACTCTTCCTTTTACATAAGTTTATGATGTGAGAGGTTTCAGTCAACTAAAGATCAAAAATAATCAATAACATATTATATATACATAATCTAACTGTAACCAAAAAAATTGCTAATTCAAAAAAGTACATTTTAGGTACATCAGACTCCAACAATAGGCTGAAACCAATCTCTTTAGATAAACTATCTAAGCGAAATATTGATTTATTTATCTCAAGATTAGATCCTTCTACAACGGAAAATGAGTTAATTGATTGCACTTATGATATTTTAAAAATTGAAAATGATGACTCTGTAAAGTGTAAAAAATTAAAATCCAAGTTTAGTGGTTGTTCTTAGTATTATATATCTGTATCTGTGGATTACTCTCAGTTAAAAAACAAAGTTGTTTGTTTAATGTCTACTGAAGCTCGGCCTAAGGGTCTATTGGTACGAAGATATTTTAAACCCAAAAATGTCAGCAGTAAACATATCATCTGATATATTAATAGACCCTTTGGAGGGACTGCTATTCTTTATCGATTTTTTTGGAAAATTTGGCAAATAATATTACAATCATTAAATCTTTAAAATCCAGAATCACTTGTTTAAAAGTATCTGCCAATATAGGGCCAATTTTGCTAATATGTGTGTACATGCCAACGAATTATAACAACAAACATTGACTGCATAGTTATATGGATATATGTTCAAAAATAAACTCACTTATAATGGAAACTGATGCTATGAACAAATATATATATATATATATATATATATATATATATATATATATATATATATATATATATATATATATATATATATATATATATATATATATATATATATATATCCTTAATGAACAACATCCTGGCATAAAATACACAGTGGAACTTGAAAAGGACCTCAAAAAACTCAATTTTCTAGATATTAACATTACAAACACAGGGTCTGGAACTTATGAGTTTCAAATACATAGAAAAGAAGCTATTACAAATGTTCAACTTAAACCTAACTCGAACATTAATCCTAACATTATAATTGGCGTTTTCAAAGGATTTTTATGTCGTGCTAAAAGAATATGCTCTCAAAAACACCTTCAAAAAGAAAATGATTGCCTTTTGGCTTTTGACATGAAACTATTAGTACCATAAAAAGTTGTATTTTCTTTGTTTATAAATTTATATATATATATATATATATATATATATATATATATATATATATATATATATATATATATATATATATATATATATATAGTTCAGCGTTTGAAGCAAGTAAAATTGGTGCGCGCCCCCTCTACTACTCTCAAAGTTAATTGCAAATTAACAATAGTGTTTTAATCACAAAGGTTATATACAATATGTAATAGAAACAAAGTTGCACATGTTTTTAACTTATACTTATCCAAATTAAGGAGTTATATAAATTAAATGGGGGTTGCTGACAGACTATCTGAAGGTAATAAAAAAAAATAAAAAAATTCCATAACATTCTGTGCGCTTAGAGCATTTGCTCCAACTGTTCTAATGTAGCTACGCCACGGATATACATACATACCGGCATTTTCTGACCATTTTAGATCCTCTTTCAAGGCTAATTTTTTTTTTTTAATTTAAATTTTTAATTTCTGTGACGTCGAGAGAGTGTCTAATATAAACTTATTTTGATGAATTTAGCTTAGACTACATACATTTTGTATTTAAAATCATATCTTTTTTGTTTTAGTTTTATTGCTGCGTATTTTGCAGCAATATCTCAATAATTTATATCTCAATATTTATGGATTTTATTATTATATTGAGAACTCTTTATATATTTTATCTATTATATATTTTATGTATTATAAATGCCTAAGATTTTCTCTGATAAGTTAAAAATTTGGTTAAAAATTTAAAAATTGCTTTGCTTATTACTTTATTTGTAAATTTATTCTAGGGTGCGGATGGTATCGTTACCAATTTTCTTTAGCCTGCCCACACATTAGACCCTCATCTTTAAAAATATTAGGGGTGGGGGTGGTTTTTAAAAATGAGATATTTTTTATGACTTTTATGATCAAGGTATATGTACTGCAGCACCATGAGCACTTACAAGATAAAACCTTTATATTATTAAGGTTTAAGACCGAGGTTGAGTAAAAGCACTCACTCACTGACGTCTTGTATTATTCAAGTGGGAGTCACTTAAATCGTGATTTTTGCACCCATGTCGTTTCCGAGTTGGTGAACAATCAGAGCCTTTTGGAGGACCTTCTATTTAGACACAATTCAATATGTACTCCTTTAGGAGTACATATTGAATTGTGTCTAAAATGAGGAGGGAAAACACTTCCCCTCCTCATTGGCGCATCTGCGATTAATGTGTACTTGCTATGTTCTACCTTCCGTTAGATTTTGGTAAAGATTAGTTTAATGGTTTAAAATTTACTAATATTTTATAAATCCAAGATGGCGGTAACTACTATCTTAGATTCGAGCCAGTTTTGGTCATGCTACATTTTGCCACTATATCTTGAAATGATTAGCATAATTTCCTGAATTATTGGTAAAAATTTCATGATTTTATCCCCTTGTGCACAACTCCAGTCATTTTAACGCTAATCTGCTGCACTATAACACGAATTAATGGAAGCGGGTGGTTAAAGCGAAAAGTTTAAAAGTGAAAAATTTGTTAAAGTGAAATTTTCTTTTTTTCCTTTTTTTTTCAATAATACAGCCTGGTTTTAATCTTTTTTTTTAAAACTATCTGCGTTTAGATAACTTTTTATTAATAACGTTTAAAATTATTAACGTAAAAACTTTATATTATTTATTTACATCGTTCACTACTTTGAAACATTCTGTATATCCACCAGCCGACGCTAACATTCACAATAGCTCGTTATGCAAAAGAACATTCGGTTTTAAGATACATCCGGTGTATAAGTGCAAGCAAAAAGACTGTGAAGACAGAAGGGAAAACACGAGGTTGTTGTTCCAGAGCTTTTTATTTTATTTGTTTATTTCGTCTTTTGAAATAAGCATTACAACGTTTTACAACATAACAATATAAAGTTTTAAAAAATTCCGACTGAAGCTGGCAGAAGACATGGTTTACAAATTTAGATATAATCTTGTATATAATGCACATGCATAAACTTTTTTTATTATTTTTATTTTTTTTATTTTTATTTTTTTTTTATATATTTTTTTCTTTATTTATTTATTTATTATTATTATTTTATTTTTTTTAGAGTTTATATACATATTTTTTTGAGTAAGAATTTATTACTTTGGATTTTGTATGTGTTTCTTTGCGGAGCTTTTAAAATTTAGTTTGTTATATTAAATTTCATTTATATATACTTGTATTGAAGTATTTTTTTTTTGTAATTGAAGAATCTTCAACATAATATCCACATCGTTGTAATTATTTCGTGAGAAATCAACAGTTATGTTACAATCATTGTGTGTGCATATATGTCTGAGAAAGTACTTTGGTCTAAACTACTCACTCGGGCATATGCATGCGCACTCACACTATTTATTTGACATAACTCCAAAGTTTAGAGGAGCTAAAATGCGGGAGAAGAGGCTATAGCCCCCATCACCAACACCAAACATCACTTATCAATACATTTATACTGTTTCGGCAGTTATTATTATTAGTAATAATAATAATGATAATAATAACAATAAAAATAAAATAGTAATAATATTAATATTTTTATTATAAAGTATTATTATTATTAAAATAGTAATAATATTAATATTTTTAAGATAAAATATAAATAAAGAAAAAAAAAAGGTCCTCAAAACGAAAGTTTAACCTAACTAGCCGAATAAATTTGTAAAAAAACCGACTATAACTTGAAAATCACCTTTTTCGGGGTGATTTTAAAGTTATAGTCGGTTATAATGCAGCAGAAATAACATGTAACTATAGTTCTTTTTTCAAGATGATTTACATTTTCCCTTATTTTCGTAAATTATACAATACTTTATAATATATATAATATTATAAAGTATTGTATAATTTACGATTGGTTGAAAAAAACAGCATTTTGCACCAAGTAATAAACTAATTTAAACTTACAAGAGGGATTGGACCATTGTAAAACAAGATGATATTCATGGTTGCTGTAACTACAGCACACTCTTATATTTTTTATTTCTATATTGCTATTAAATTCACTGGAGTTTTCAGTGCTGCCAGGACAATCTACAAGAAAAAATAAATTTTTATTATGTTTATACTTAACGCAATATAAGTAAGCACTAATGCTCAACACAATGCACGCATACAAATACAAGCATATTACCGTGGTAAGAGTTTAAATACTTTATTTTAGTCTTCTAATTTTTCTCTTATATAACTTGAAAGACTTTTAAGAACGTTGCCTTAAAAGATGCACTTTATAACTTGCCACGTGTGCATATGCTTAATTTTTTTTGTATACATTGTAATAGGTGCTCAAAAAAACCTAACGGCTTTGTCACCACCATATATATATATATATATATATATATATATATATATATATATATATATATATATATATATATATATATATATATATATATATATATATACATATATATATATATATATATATATATATATATATATATATATATATATATATATATATATATATATATATATATATATATATATATATATATATATATATATATATATATATATATATATATGGGGTGGCATCAAACCATATATATATATATATATATATATATATATATATATATATATATATATATATATATATGGTTTGATGCCACCCCTAGCCCAATATTGCTCTCCCGCGATGATCTATGATAAGACCGTAAGGGCTTCTTGGAGCACCTAAAATAAAATACAAAAAATATATATATATTTATATTTTGCAAACAGATTAATATATACACAATAAATAAAATTTTTTTACGATACTTAAAATTTATATAATACTTACCAACAGCTGAGCTTGTATCCTATAATAAAGTTTAAAAAAATGAAATGCGAGATAATGCTTTATATATATATTAGACTGCTTCATTTTGAGGTCATGAAAAAATTTTAAGTACCATAGAGTGTTATCTGCTGCGTTGACCCTTATTTTATTAGTAGAATTATTTTTTTTTTAAATTTTGACTACTTTTAGGGGTTGCTCAAGTGCCTCAAAAGTCACATTATAGGTATTTTTACCCTTTTTTAAGCCCATTTTTCGCACGTTTGAGCAAGTACTAAAACTCAAAAAAATTGATTTTTTTTTTTTAGAGTTTTTTCTAAGTTGGAATAAAAAAATTAAAATGCATGGTAATTTTATTTTATTGAAATAATTTGTGTAAATTTATCTACAAAAACGCAAAGTTATGCAGATTTTTACCGAATATTACGCATTGCAATATCTTTATGGATATGTTAAGCCATTTGGAAAAAAAAACCTAACTATGTTGCATAAAACATCTATATATAGCATTAAAGGTCTATAAAAACTTTATTATATTGCATGAAACTTCATTAAATTACATGAAACGAAAAAAAATCTAATTATATTGAATAAAACGTCTAGCAATTTTGTTTAACAAATTTCTTTATAATTAAATTTCTATAAAATTTATAATTTTTTTTTTAAAATGTTATATTATATTTTTATATTTTTTTGTTTTTTTGTTTTTTTGTTTTTCTTGGATTTCTTAGTTTTTCCTCTTTATATTCTCCATACTTCCTTTTGTAATTATGCAAAAATAAAAGTGAATCCTGTCTTTTCTCTTCTTTTTGGGCAATATCAATTTTGTCTTTTATGAGTTTAACGATTCTTTCCGAGCAATCATTAACAACTGAAAGATTAAAAACTGCCTCGTGAAATTTTAAGTAGAAATCGTTGCAAGTCCAATATTCTGGAGGGGTTTTCATCCATTGACAGTCACTTTTACTTTGGCCTATCATAAGGAACAATAGCCACGAATTTTCTGTGACCAAATGAACTAAGCTGGGACGCTTCGGTCCACTGAAGTCTAAAGAATTGAGGACATCTATGTTAGCACTTATTCGGGCTAACGGATATTCATCCATACTATGAAATTCATAGCTGTATAGTTTTTGAGCAATATCATCTCTTTCTTTACATTTTTCATCAGCTAGAGCTAGTACAATAAGGTAAGGGTCCAGAAACCATGTGTGGCGTTTGATAGATTTAATGACTGATTCTGCCCCAATCAAATTGTATTCCTTAAACCTATTCATTTGCCAAAGCGCTCTCATATCCTGGATAAAACAAAAAACTGTTAATCTTTCTTTAAAAAAAAAATTATTTCTTAGATACTTTTAATAATTATCAAAACTTTTTATTCAAACTAGAACCCTTTTATAAATTATATATATATATATATATATATATATATATATATATATATATATATATATATATATATATATATATATATATATATATATATATATATATATATATATATATATATATATATATATACTTATATATATATATAAATATATATGTATAAATATATATATATATATATTTCATACTTTTTAAGTTTTCAGCCATTTTTCCAGACTAGGTATAGCATCCATCATAAGTTGGAGTTTTAGGTAGTAGATACCTATAAAAAAAACTCTTTTTTTTTATAATTTTTTAAAAAGACTAATATTTGATAATGTAAAACAAATTCCTTTTTTTTGCAACTTGAATCTTTTTTTATCATGAACCTACAATACCTTACCTTTTGCCATAAAGCGGGCATGGTGGACTGCTCCGGGAGTACAAAATTTGTGCCTGTCCTCAGAAACCACCATAAGTGTAAGCTCTGCCAGCTCAATGTAGTCCTTCCTTGTAGCCCCATCCTAAAAATGAAATAAAATAATAAGTATTTAGGTATAATAAAATAAACCTATTTATATTTTAGTATAATAAAGGATAATAGAATTAAAAAAGAAAAATTTATAAAAAAATTTCAACATAAAAGTACATACTACATAGATACCTACAAATTCAGATATCTAGTTATTGGCTACCTTTTTTAGAGACCCACTGGTGATAATATTTCTGCAGAACGTTATGCTTTCATACTTTTGATGACCAAGCCATGTTTCCTCTGAAATAGTCAATCTTCTCAAAACCTTATTTATTCAAAACATAAAAAAAAAAATTCAAAGAACTCAAAATTGGAAAAAGAAAATTATTCGTAAAAAATAATATTTCACAAAATGGTAGCTAATTTTGTAAAAACCTACCTGGTTGTCTGCGTCAAGATCATTCCATGCTGATTTTAAAGTTTTAAACAGCAGATTATCTGGTCCAGAAGTAATGCTACTTTGATAATTTTTCCAGAATTGTGTTATGTGTAGCTGATTGACATGATGTCAGCATGCAATAGATAGAACTGGTCGTTGAAAGACTTCATTTACCAGTAAAGATACAGCTCCATTTTTGTTTCCAGTGTTGATTCTGGTTGTATCAAATGTTACAGCTTGTATATTGTCTGTAAGGTTAAAGCTATTTAAGATATCTCTGATTGCATTTTTTTGATTTTCGCCAGTTCCAGAAGAAATGGGTGGAATTCCCAACAGGTGCGTTTCCTTGTTAGCGTTTATTAATATTGCTAATCGATCTTGTTCCAATTTTTTCCCATCAGTATATTCATGACATACTTTTCCATCAAAATGGAGTTGAACTAAAATGTTCTTATTGATTTTTCTTAAACTCTTTGATTTTTCTTAAACTCTTTGATTCATCATGAATGACCTTATCTGCAGCGCGTAATGCTGTAGAGGTTGAAGATTTAAATTCAGCTACATTTCCACCCGATTTAGCAATTATACTATTAATCATGGAAGCATGCTGCCTATGACTTATTCCTTCCCCAACAGCAGTATCAGCAGTTCTCTTGAGAATATCTTTTGGAAGCATAACAGTATTAGTTTTTTTGACTTTTTTCTTTAACTCTGGATCTGGGTATGAAAAATCATCATTACCTTCATCTTTCTCCGATCCATTTGAGCTGAATTCACTCTCTGACATGGTTTCATGCAAATTTGATTTCCTTTTAATTTTGGATAAACTCCTGTTTACAGAGTAAAGGTACCTTGTATCAATTCCACCTATTCTAGTTTTTCTATCTCCTAATTGGTCTAATAAAAATGCAATATCTTCAGTCTTGTCTTGATCCTTTCGTTTCCTATCAGCTTTAATTATTGCAATCAGAGTATCGAGCTCAGGTGCAATCCAAAAGATACTTTTCATCTGAGTTAAAAACCTCCTCCCTTTTTCAATCTCTGATAAAGTTTGTCTTGCTTTGTTTATTTTTAACAGTTTCCAGGTTCGGATCAGCTTCTCTATCTTTATACTAAAAAATGTGATTTATAGGTTCGGTATATTTTACAACACATCTATTTCTGTTTATTAACTTATTTAACAGCAGACATTAGTTATATTAATATTTTCCGCTAATAAGTAATAATATATAAATAAAAAAAACATATACAGTCTGGTACCTACCTAATTGTTTGTAATTGTAAAATCTGAAATCCACCCTTCAACCAAGGTGTAATTAACTTTGAAGGAGTGCAGCAAGTATGTTTTTCATTATGGCAGCTGATTTCAAAGTTTTTTGTCAATGGACAGTGGATAATTCTACTTTCTTTTTGTTTTGGGTACTTCTCCTTTAAATGCAAGAAGTATTGCAAAACCTCTTGCTTTGTAGCAAACTTGTCTTTTGGTAAGGATGACCTGGATTCCCTTACCAAAAAATGTGTGTCAACTTTTTTCTTACTTTTCCCTGACATGAATAAATCGGTAATAAATAGCTTTAATTAGTAAATGGAGTAAGTATATCATAAGAGTAATCTATATTTATTTCCCGTGTTTTTAAATCAAAATTAAATATCGTTTTTGTTAAAAAGTAATTTGCATAACATGTTTAAGCAAATACGCAACATTTTTAAATTAACAATTTAAAAATGTTGCGTATTTGCGAAGCGCAACAATTGCATAACTTTGCGTTTTTGTAGATAAATTTACACAAATTATTTCAATAAAATAAAATTACCATGCATTTTAATTTTTTTATTCCAACTTAGAAAAAACTCTAGAAAAAAAAAAATTTAATTTTTTTGAGTTTTAGTACTTTCTCAAACGTGCGAAAAATGGGCTTAAAAAAGGGTAAAAAAAGCCTAAAATATGACTTTTGAGGCACTTGAGCAACCCCTAAAAGTGGTCAAAATTAAAAAAAAAAAATTCTACTAATAAAATAAGGGTCAACGCAGCAGATAACACTCCATGGTACTTAAAATTTTTTCATGACCTCAAAATGAAGCAGTCTAATATATATATATATATATATATATATATATATATATATATATATATATATATATATATATATATATATATATATATATATATATATATATATATATATATATATATATATATTAGTCAGAAAACATCAATTAATACGAATTCTCTCAATACAATTAATAATTTATTATTAGATAATACAAAAATTTATTATTATAACTAATAATAAATTATTAATTGTATTAAGAGAATTCGTATTAATTGATGTTTTCTGACTAATATAACATATACTCTTATACACGATGTCAACACTATATATATATATATATATATATATATATATATATATATATATATATATATATATATATATATATATATATATATATATATATATATATATATATATATATATATATATATACAATTTTAATTTATAATATTATAGCTATCCAAGTAACTAATAAAATGTGTTAATTTAATAAAAGTAATAAAGTTCAACTTTTTTATTACAATGTCTAGAAAGAGGGAATTTTAATTTATAATTCAATTTAAGTTTTTAAACATATTAGAGTGAGAATATTATAGTGTTCTAAAATCGCCGTCAACATAACATGCTAAAAACTTTCATTATGAACTTATGTTCATTAACAGAAATTATTTAAATGAACATTAACATTAATATCAACTAAAACATTATTTTAGCTGGTTATTTACACAAGAATTTGATGAGTATTTTGTGTAATTTTTATTTTTAAAAGTAAATTTTTTATCTATTTTTTTTATTAAACTTTTTTTAATGAGTATCAGTATAGGATGAATGGTTTTATTAATATTATAATATTTAGTTTATTTTGTTTATATCCTTTGAAACAGTTTAACGTGCAATCAATAGTTTTTATACATCAAAGTTAAGCAGTTTTTGATATACTTTACTATTACTTTTAGGCATTTAGTTTTTATACATCAAAGTTAAGCAGTTTTTGATATACTTTACTATTACTTTACTATTACTTTTAGATTACTCCAATGTTCACCAAAACTTTGCTTACAAGGTAGGCACACAACGTTGGGTCAATGTCAAAACAGTGTAAAAAACAACTTTTGTTTATGTTGGTTATGAACTGCCATAAAAACCATATTTAAATGTTATCTCTGCACTAATTTCATTAGTATTAAGTAATTGAATACGATGAAAAATCACTTCTTCTTTTACATGTGCATTACGTTTGATCGTACGTTCTAATAAACATTTTAACGGTACTTGCGCAACTATATAGGAAGTGAAAATAGCATCTTGGTCTCCAAGCCACTTTACATTTCCAAATTTCTCTAACCTTGATAAAAAAAAAAGTTTTTATAAGAGTTCCTTGTCTATTATTTTGGTGTTGTTGATTACTTAAATTCGAATCCAAGATTCATTTTAATCATTCATCGAATATATAAAATATTACTACTTTTTTTAGAAAAAATAAAGCTTACTTTTATCTTAGGTGGTTCATTATGGACTACTTTCATTATGGGCCACCTTAAGGTGGTTTACCACGAAATAAATTTGATATTTTTCAAGTTTTTTAAATTTTCAGATTAGATTGTTTTAGAATAATTAATTATCCCTGAATTCATTTCTGAAATCTATCTTTTAGTAAAATAAACACAAAAAGTTTAATTTAAGATTTAAGCAAGGTGTTTTAACATATTTTGTAGAGGCCCCTACCAACACAATTTACTTTCTTGTTTTGGACTTTTTTATGTATACTTGGCGTACTTTTAAAAAACTTAAATTTTAGTATGATAGTCAAGTCTATACCGTAGATTAAAATAAAATAAACAAACTACATTTACTTTCAGTGTTATATAAGAGCTTTTACAGAGCACTTATTTATCTCTAGAGATAAGCTATGATAACAGTTTATATGATTATTGATTCTCTAATAATAAAGGTGTTTATAGATTTTAATCATTTCATATTAACTAATAAATAAAATACATGGAAATAAGAAGGGTTATATAAGAAAAGTAAAGAGAACATTTTCTTGGAACAAGTTCCGAAAAGCATATGAAAAAACAAGTGAAATCTTTACTATAAAAATCATGCAGTGCTAAAAATCTAAGCAAATTTAAATGAAAAACAATGTTTTGGTGATTATAATTTGATTAAGTATTTCCCTGTTTTCAAAGAAATTTTTATGCAAGTTGGGAGATGCCTAGATTGTCAAAATTGTATAAACATACAAAATGACGATTCAAAGGGAATAGGATTTTTATGCAGATTGAAAATTAAATGGAACGTTTTCACTCTACTAATTCTAAAAGTTAAATGCAACTGTATGTTTTATATCTTGCATAAACCTGAAAATTAATGTAAGCAGAAAAAATCTGAAGGTGAACTACAAACAACTATAAACTAAAAATTAATTTACCTATATGGGTCCATGATATTATATTAAGTAATTTCAAGGATTTAAGAGATGACCAATTTGTGAAAAGGTGTTCATGAAGAATCAAAAAATTGCAATGATGGGATCAATAATGTAATTTGGGCTAAATGTCCAAAAAATGTGTTTATGAAGAAAAGTACCCTGACATCAAAGTAAATTCAGCTATATTAATTTTCAAAGAAGGAACGTCTAGTTGAAAACGTGTTTTTAAACATTTTAATATACCGCACAGTGTTTATACTGTAACCGGTTCGTTGAAAAAGGACAGGTGTTGTGTTAGTAATATGGAGAAAAATCAAAAAAAACTTTCAATAAAAATAGGAAATTTATTAAAAAGGATTATCTAAAGGCTGATTTGATAATGAATAAAAACTTAGAGCTAAAAAATTGTTTTTAAGAAGTTTTTGACTGTTTTTTCTTTTTTTGCTTTTAAAATGTTCTTTTCTCAGTTTGTAAATTTTCACTATTTAGCTTTACGTGGAACAAGGTCTTTTAATATTGGTTTAAGATATGGAGCTAAAATTTTCAGCATTTGCACTTAGATCTGGAGATTGAACTAAAATCAAGACATAAGGTGCTCTATTTACATTGTTATTATTCATTGTTCATAATTTTGTCATGTAACCCCCCCCCCCCAGATAATATAAGCAAGATTATCTGATTATTTTGTCTTGTAACTCCCCTCCCCCCTAGATAATATAAGCAAGATTATCTGTGCAAGATTTTGAGAGAAATAGACATTTTGTGTTTGAATTTTCTTGTTTCATTCACGTGTACAGTTTTAGGCTTTTTTTGACTAAAATTCGATGTTTTTTACAAAAATTTTCAAAGTTTCACATTTTTTTTTGATAAATATTTACTAAAATTTATTATTGGAACTATTTTATTTAATATTTTAAAATAAAAAAATTCAATTTGACAAAAACGTTGCGCGCGGTACTACCAGTCTCTGGTAGTACCGCGCTCAACTCGTATCTCCGCGCAGCGGCCTTGTTCGTCAAGGTTTGTGTTTCGGAGTTATAGAGTTGAGAGAGGGTTATAGCCACAAAATAAGTAGCCTCCTCGTCTATAGTGGCCTTCTCGAGCTTGAGAAGGTGAAGTAAAATAAAAATAAAAAAAAAGAGTTATCACAACATGTTACTTCCAATCTTTTTGCTGGATCCAATTTTTTTTGTCAGTTAAGTCCATCAAGACAGCAGGTCTCGATGGAATTAACTGTAGGACATTACACAGACTCCGACGTCTGTGCCCGCTGGGTAAAAAGGAATAAATTTCTACCTTTATGGTATATCACATATTCTACCACTTTAAGGTAAAAAATTATACCTCTAAGGTTAAAAATCGTACCAAAATCGTACCAAATCGAATCAAAAACAGTCATTTGTAGTGTAAATTTCTATCTTAAGGGTGTTCTGCCATAAAATGTATAGTTTTCTACATTAAGGGGTAGGATTTGCGATTACTTTAAGATTAGGATGTGTGAAAAACTTATAGCTTATTTATACCTCTATCTTTTTAGTACGTTTAACTTTTTTTTCCCTCTAATTCTACATTACTACAATATATTGTATAACTTTTTTTTTATCTAATCTAAATACAACATTGTAACTAGTTTTCCTATTTTTCTTATATTTTCTAATTTTTTTCTTTTCTTTTTCTTTGTTTAATTTCATACTTAAACTTTAAAAATCATTACTTCCAAATCTTCATAGTTTAAACTCTTTAAAACCCAACCCCAACGAATTGTATTAGAAAAAAGTTATGTATAAGTTTTATACATCTTTAAATATTTAAGTCTATAAGTTAATTATTTCTTTTTTATGATTTATTTTGGGTAAGTTTGTTTTAAGGTTTTCGTAAGTATTGTTTTATACTTTTATATAATCGATGTTATGTTTTGATACGGGCAACTTGAGGAATAATTGCTAATTGGTTTTATTATTATGCTATTGTGTGTATGCGTGACTTATTTATATAGATATATTAAAAACTATCAAAATTAAACATTAAGAACTAAATAAAACATAAACCTCGCTTTTTGTCTTCATAAATTGCAAGTAAAGTATTGATGTTAAAAGTGACGTCAACATCATTATATAACATTATAATTAAAAATTAATATATTTAATAAACAGAATATTTTCACATTTTACATTTATATTACATTTTAGTTAAACTAGCATGCTTGAAACTTTGAAAAAATTTGATATTTCTTGTAACTTTAAAAATAAACAATGAAACTTGAGTAAGTAAACAACGCGCCTAAAATCATCACGCATGCGATACGTCATATGATCAGTACAACTGTAAAAGTATAAAACAGATGCAAGTTCAACTGCATTGAAAATTTTCGGGAAATGCTCGTAACTTTTTGTTTTGTAAACAATAAGAAAACGACTTCAAGACTGTACTTAAACCCCTAATCTTTATACGTTGACGCAAATAGGTATGTTTGATATAATTTAAAAATAAAGGTTCGTCAATAATATTTAAGAAAAACATTAAAAATGGCGCAACAAAACGGCAAACAACAACTTTTTTATAAACTTCATATTAAATGAAAGGAATATTACAAAAATGAATGGAGTTATGACAGCTAATAAAACTTTAAACTTTAATTTTTAAAAATTGTTTTAGTTGTCTTTTTTATCAAATGTCGTGTTATGAAGCAAGAAAAAAATGCTTAAATTATCATATTCTTTTAAAATCAAGTGGTTCTATTTAATTACCGATTTTTAATAAACCTTTTTCTGGTATTTGCAATTACTAATGGTTAAAAATTTGCAGCATATCCCTAGAATAATTCATTTTTTAATGTTTTAATAACGATCAATTCAGTGAATTTTGTTGTTTTTTTACCCAGTGAAACTTTTTTTTTTTTTTTATTGTCGGTAATTGTCGAAATCGCAATTTCAAGTAGTCTCAAGATTGAAATTGCTTTGATGTTTGCGGCTCGATGAACTTCCATCTGTTTTATACTTTCATGGTACAACTTATTTACCGTTGGAAAGAATGAAATATCTTGAATATCATTGAAAGGGTGAGAATTTTTAAAAAAGTTTAAAGTTTCTAAAAATATCACCGAGAGAAAGTTATTGCATATGTTATGATAGAGATACTTATGTTATTGATGTGCTCAGGTAATTAAACTTTATAAAGATTACATTTAGTGAACCAGTCTGCTACTTCAGAAAGCGCTGATGTGGAGGAAAAAAAAAGAAAATTCTCCGTAACTAGCAAAAACTCAAAAACATTAAAATTTTATTTTAACAATTAAAAGTTTTCATACGTATATTATTGCCGAACTTAATAGTGCTGTTAGGAGTAGTGTTCTTTCGAGCGTGTTTGACACAGGACTCTTGACAGCCATTGCAACCAAGATGATGTCGAGAAAAAGTCGCAGAATTTCTTTTTATAAGAAAAACGTGAACGAAAGTGTATGCAAATATCTAATGTACGTAAACTTCAAATCAGGCAATATTAAAACATATTAAAACATATATCAAGTTTTACAGTTTTACTTTCACTTAAAAATTGAATTGCGGCAACATCTCCCTAATTTTGATCTATGAAATCTGTTTTCGCAATAGTTTTTCATTTTACAGATATTTCAAATCCTAAGCGAAATCAGTTTTGTGCACAAAATGATTTTTCTTGGTGTAAATATTAGACTATTAGTAAAGTAATTTCATTCATCCCCGTCAAGTACAGAACTTTTTGAAACAACAAATATTGAACTTGAAAAACTAAATATTTTTCTAAAATCTAATAAATTATCTTTAAACACAGAAAAAAAGTAATTACATCTTATTCCATTCCAATCAAAAAAGAAAAAAAACTACCAAATATATTTCAATTGCTAAAAATAGAAAACAAAAATATCAAAAGAACAACAACAACTAATTTTCTACTTGTACAAATAAATTTTTAGGTTTACTGATGAAAATATTTCATGAAAAGCACATATTGACTATTTAAAAACTAAAATAACCAAAAATATTGGCGTGCTATACAAAGCTAGACCAATGTTATCCCAAGAAAATCTAAAACATCTTTATTTCTCATTTATACATCCCTATTATACATATCGTAATATAGCATAGGCAAGTACCCATAAATCCAATTTTGATGTCGATAAAGTGATAAAATCACTTTATCGACATCAAAAAAATGCCGTTAGAATTGACTATAAAAAAGATGAACCTTTGTTAAAACTTCTTATATATTAAGGCACTACATGTCTATATCTATTTCTATTGTACAAAATATTTATATTTATATATATTTCTGTTCTACAAAACTATCGCGTTTCACAATTTCATATCGCGGTCCCTATTTCTATAACAAACTGATATCCAAAAATGCCATAATTACAAAATTAGATAACATAAGTTGTTTGAAAGTCTTACTAAAAAAATTCTTCCTAAATATAAATAATTATTTGAACTTACACTAGTAACTTACATTGGTAAAATATTGTGGGCATGTGTTCATAATTCCTTTTTTTAATTAATTGAAATCAGTTTTATTAACCATCAAAATTTATACAAAAGAAAACTTAATTCATTTATTCTTTAAAGAAGCCTTAATTCAAATTAATAAATTATTGCTTTTTTTTTTGATGACATATTTAGTGTGAATTTTTACTAAAACAAAAAATAAAATAATAAAAAAAATAAAAAATGAATAATAACAAATGAAACAATTAAATTAGAAATTCCAGCTGTAAAATCAAACTCAATAAAATATATTTATTTAGCATATTATATTAAATTTAAACTCATTAACAAGTTTTAAATCTTATTTAACAATCATTTAGTGTTTAAAATTTACGACATTGTAAAATTTACAGCCCCCTCACTCTAACTGGGCCTAAGACAGGTTTTAGATGTCTCAAATACGTTGGTTGTAAAGAGTATGAAAATTTGATCGGTAAAATATTAATAAATGGAACTTAAAACCTGTCAATGAATTTAAATTTAGTATAATAAATAATATAGTTTACTAAATCATTGTTTTTACATTCGGGGTAGAGGAAGCGAACTTTCCAGAGTATTTTTGTTTCCAGACTCCAATCGCTGAAACATAGTTTCATCTGACATTAGCATGAACATTGGGGTTATAACATTTTATTATCTTTTTGGATTTCTTCATTTTCTGCAATATAACTAGACAAAATTTGTAAGTAACTAAAGAGTCATTTACTTTTTGAAAAAGGTCACCCAGCATCACCATTAATTTCACGTTGGGTCCCATATATCAGAAAAAAAATTTTTCTCGAAAAGTATATCAAGCTGGCTTTCACGAGAATCAGATTTTTATAGAGATTTCAAAATTTAAAACCTTCCTAATTATAACCCTTTTAAAAAAAGTAATCCTTAAAAATATCATAAAAAATAGCCTTCTCATTTATTTGTGAAAAAACTTTGTATTATTGTGTATTAATTTTAAATAATAGATTTTTATCAAACACCAATGAATTTTCTGAAATCACTATAAAATTTTGGTTCTTTTGAGATTCAGGTTGATATATTTCAGAGAAAAAAATCTGGCAAAAAAATGGTGTTACTGCTTGATTTATTTTAAAAGGTAAATAAATCAATAACATTTTAGTTAGTTTCAAACCAAAGTTTATCTGTTTTTTATACAATGAACTGGGGTTATCAAAAAGTCGTAACCCTAACAAATATACTTAAATTTAGAGTTTGCTTAATGTCCTAAAGTCACAAGTCTAAAGCACCAAAAAATCCTCACAGAATTATAAAGATAACTTTCTGGAATAATTTTTTTTTTTAATATTATTTTTTGATGAAAAGATAAAAGTTACACAAGAAAGTTTTTTTTCCATGCAAAAGAAATTATTGCAACCTTCTGATGTCAAAAAAAGCTCTCAGATATCCTCCTTACCTTCTACAAAAGGTTTCTATTAGTTTATACCACATGATGCAACTAACATAAATGATGCAACATAAATGATGCAACATAAATAATGCAACATAAATGATGCAACATAAATGATGCAACATAAATGATGCAACATAAATGATGCAACATAAATGATGCAACATAAATGATGCAACATAAATATCAAATAAGCCTCTGAGAAGAAGGAATGTAATCTAAAATTAAATCTTACTGGCTCAATAAAAAAATAAACAATGGCAGGAAAGTATTATTTTTCACTGCCCTTGAAATATTTATGCACCATTTATTTACTTAATTTTTTATTAGAATAGCCAAGTAAAGATAAGTGCTGCTGGGTTCCTAAACCCCATATCCGAATTATGTTAAAAAATAAACACACACAAAATATCATTCTGCCATGATTGATTTTGGATAGAACGAGTAAGTTTAAATGTTAAATTAAGTTCCTCCAGGTCAGAGACTTTTTTGACATTTATGGTAGTTGTACAATGTGGTAAAAAATTAAAGTAAACTTTTTGTAGCAGTTAAAGAAATTGTTTAATTAGGAAGGCAAAGAATCACGGACTAAAAGTATATTGTTTTTTTAAAATCGAGAAATGAATGCTAAATACTTTATTTATAAAAAAGTTGAACATTTTTTCATAATTTAGAACTTGTTAACTTAACGCTGATGAACGCTAATTAAAAACTATCACTGGAAACAAGTCTTTAATTTATAAAGATTTAAAGTTATAAATTGCTTTCGTTTAATAGGCGTTAAAAGCTTTCACAGAAAACAAATTTTCCTAATAGCACCATATTCTATATGTATTAATGATGAACATGAATCTAATGAGTAACATATACATTACTGATGAACATGAATATATATGTATTACTGATGAACATGAATATATATGTATTACTGATGAACATGAATATATATGTATTACTGATGAACATGAATATATATGTATTACTGATGAACATGAATATATATGTATTACTGATGAACATGAATATATATGTATTACTGATGAACATGAATATACATGTATTACTGATGAACACATATATATATATATTTGTATTACTGATGAACATGAATATATATGTATTACTGATGAACATGAATATATATGTATTACTGATAAACACATATATATATTTGTATTACTGATGAACATGAATATATATGTATTACTGATGAACATGAATATATATATATTACTGATGAACATGAATATATATGTATTACTGATGAACATGAATGAGTAACATATATAGGATCTGCGACTGATTGATTTTACTGACCAGTTTTATTTAAAGGTTGATCATCTTAAAACTGAAGCTGAAATATCAGCTGCAATAACTAATTTAAGAACTTCCCTAAAACACACTTTTTTCTTTAGAGTTAGCTTAAAGAGCTATAAAACTTATTACTATAAAGAGCAAAATACGCAATGATAACCAAGAACTACGCAATGATAACCAAGAACTACGCAATAATAACCAAGAACTACGCAATGATAAGGATTTAACTCTTCCGCACTTTTAATTAAAAATAAAAGTTATCGAAACACCCTAATGCAAGTGCAAGGTTATGCAATTGAAAAAAAGTTAAAACTTGCTTTTGCAAGAGTGCAAAGCTGTTGCAAAAACTTGCGTTAGTACAATTTTGCATAAGTGCAAAATAATAAACTACTATTAAACAAGAATGTACTCTTCTAATTACGCGCTTTGTACTTATCATTTAACTGAATTAGGTACTTTATAAAAAAGATTGTTGTTTGTATATACGCAGGTTTGCACTACAATTGTAAAATGACTCTGTAAATTTTTTTAGAACCTAATGCTTGCAAAATATTTAAACTTTCACCGGACTCTTTTTGGGCTCGAACCTGCGTAGATACATACATGATCAAGTTTTTGTAAGCGTTTCTTAGTTACATAAGTGTTTGTTAATTGTTTAGGTGCGTTAAAAACAATATATACTGCTTCTTACATGGAAAGTTTTTGTACAAAAGTACACAGTTATCGTTCTTAAAAAGGAAAGATCTATAAAAAGTTATTATCTTAACTTTCCAGATCAAACCCTAAAATTTTACAAATCGAGTTCCATAATTCGCAAATTTAAAAATCAAACTGATTTGTTGTCAAATAATAGATCAAAAGCATTATTTTACAGATTCTAAATCAAGAATTTCATCTCTACATAGCCATCTTCGATTTCTCTCGCCAATATATTCTGACATTTCATCGGTCGACTCACTTATAGTCATACTAAGAGTGAATTCATTTGTTAATTGAGAAACTTTCGTACTTTCATTTGTTAATTGAGAAACTTTCGTACTTTCATTTGTTAATTGAGAAACTTTCGTACTTTCATTTGTTAATTGAGAAACTTTCGTACTTCCATCTGGTGTTTCAGTTTGTTTTTTTCTTTCTTTTTTTTTCTTAAGAGAATCGCGAGTCGAAGAGTTTTTATTTGTTACCTCTTCAAAGGGAGGATAATATCCTTTTTCACCGATATATGGACGAATCACTTTTACGACTAATGCTTCTAAGCGCATGTAGTTTTCGCTAGCAGGTTTTGATTCGTGAATGCCAGCTAAGACTAAAAACATTTGTCTTAGGTGTGGTGAAATGATTTGCCCGTTTTCAAGCACTTGTTCAATTCCTATTTTAAGCAAAACTAAGTCTCGGAAAGCAAGTAATGTAATGTCTCTGACTTCAAAAACTGAGGTTCCCAAAGGAATAAAAATTGCCATTATCTCATGAAGGGTAATTGAATAGAAATAATCCCAAGCATAAGATAAACATAGCAGAATATCCTTAAGTTTCTTTCGTTTTTCCTCTATTGAAAATCGCAGGACAATCATTCCTAAAAATATTTAAAAATAATAATAATAATAATAACAAATAAGTAAATCTAAAGAAAATTATATAGAAGATCATATTATAGAGCATAGAGAATAGTATTTCAAAATATATATATATATATATATACCAAACCTGTTACCTAAATTAAGAATCGTGTTTTGATAATAATCCAGTATCTGTTTAGGTTGATCTAATTTTAAAAGATTTCGAACTTTTTCATTGGCCACATCAAGTTGAAGAACTTGGATTCTTTTGTCATTGTTGTTTTCATCATTGTTGACTAATACATTAATATACTCTTGTATATATTTCCAACTCTCATTTCTGATCAAAGAGGAAGATTTGGTTTTAGAGGCAGCAGTTTTTTTTCCATCTGACATTTCGCTAAATTTAGAAATAAAAATTGTATTTTACTTTAAATATTCGTTCAAATTTTTTAGCACAAATATCTTTTAATTATAAAAAAAGTTAGGACCTGTTAAAGTTGACTATCGAATAAAAAAAAAGTTAGCACCTGTTAAAGTTGACTTTCGGATGAAAAAAAAGTTACCACCTGTTAAAGTTGACTACCACATGAAAAGGTTAACTACTGCGTGATAAAGTTAGCGATTTTTTTAGACATATGCCTCGCATTCCTTTAATAGTTATCTAAAAGTGAATTAATAATTGGTTTTATATTAATGAAAGCATTTTTTTGATTAGACTTTCTTCAAGGTTAAATCCAAGTTCCTAAACCTTTTGCAGGGTCCCAGAGTTGCAGTGTAAAATAGTACAAGAAAATAATATTTTTTTTCTCGAAAAATTTCATTTTAAAAAGGACGAATTAAAATAAATAAATTAAATATTAACACCATATCAACAATATTACCCATGTTAACAACATTTAGATCATGCAATTTTTTTCTTTTATTATGAATAAATTTTTTATTAATAAAACAATAGCTACTATATTAATTTAACAAAATCAAAGTTAAATTATCAAGGGCGTCAACACCTGTTGAGATCAGGGGCATCGATTTTTTTTTTGTTCGAGACAGCTAACATGTCATATAACAGATATGAAGCAAATTGTAAACATTTATATATGTTCATATTTGAATCAATTAACTATGCTTTGTAAAAGATTGCAATCAGCGAAGCCTAGGAACAAAAAAACTAAAATATTAGCCCCTCTTAACGCAAAATGTGAGAATAATGAGTTTATAAATGCTCGTAGAATTTACGCGCTACTTCTATAAGTTCCAAGGCTCCGCAATTTTTTGCAATTGATTCTTATTTCATATAAGATAAATATACTTAAGTTCAGAGTTTGCGCAATGTCCAATCTTATAAACATCATAAATCCTGCGTACGCCCGTGCAAAAAATTTGAGTGAATAAAAAAACATTTTCTTGTAAGATCTATTGAGCCTGACGGTGGGATAAATCGTTAGATAAGCTGTTGCATTTTTTTTGAGTCAGTACAGATTTTCTAAACAAATAGTATAAGCTATTTAAAAAAACAAAACAAATAAAAAATAACATCAATTTATGATAGTAAAGAAAATATTTCTTGTGAAAAATAATTAACTTGTATTTTAATCTTCTTATAATTGCTGATTTTCATTCTTTTATTTTGTTTACATATCTACAACCTCGTTAAACAGTTATATTAAAAAAAACTCTAGTAAAATAGAATAAGCAACGAAAAACGTCGTTAAAAAATGTCAAGCTAAATATTTTTACAAAAAATACAAATCAAGAGAAAAATAAATCAGGAGAGTGTCGTCAAAAAAGCTTTATTACGTATATTATTTCCGCAGCTTTAATTTAAATGCAGTTTAAAATACTATTGAAAACTTAATTGCTGTTAGTCATGCAATCTTTTTTCAAGAAATTAGTATGAGTGATTAATATACTTTAATAAAATATATTTTTAAATACTTAAATTTTAAATTATATTTGAATAAAAATATATTATAAACAGAACAAAATATATTTTGTTTTTATTATAATTTTTATTAATTTTAACTATTTCATTAAAATATATTATTATTGTTATTAAAATGTATTAATTGTTAACACATTTTAAACGGATTTCGTTTGCATTCTGCAATACAATACATTAATTATCTGAAGGTAATCTAAAATTTAAACCTCTAACAAACGTGTACTAAGGCGGGAAACCAGGATTTTTTTAGCAAAAATTGTATTTATACTTTAGTTGATATTTTGTTAAAAAGTCAAAAAAAAAAAGGAACATGTTTGGTATCGTTGGAAAGATTTTTTAACAAACTTTTCGATGAAATTGAAATACATTTTTTATAAGCAACCTGCAAGCCAGAGTTGGCGTTTAAATAAAACCAACATTTACGACAAAACATGTTTGCGCACAAAAACTAAGTCTCGTTTTTCCTAACTTTAACTTTAGAATAACGGTTGCCCTTTGAAACATATAACCACTAGGCACAGGTCAGAAATTTAAGGTTTAAGTTTACTATCCGAGTACCCCAAAAATGTTAATAAATATAGTAAGTGGGGCATCTGGACACTTCATTTTCATATTTAGAAAAATCTGGGAGGTATCACATTTTTAGAAAATTGACATTGAAAATCTGATAAAAAGTCATTATTTTCGTACTTAAAAAAACTAAACTGACAGAAAGTTGAAGTTTATTTAAAAAAATGTTCATATACCAACTTTTCAAGGTATTTAATTTAATATTTATACATAAACATTATAAGAATACACAAAGTTGGTCAAAAAAACATTTTTATTAAAATGTTTCTTTTTGACTATGCATTTTTATTTTTATTTTATTATAGATACCTAATATATTGAATCTATGGCTCCTCTGCTCTCTAAGGAGAAGAGAGAATACCATTTTAAAAGAAATCATGTACTTTTTCAAAAAATCATTTGCTGTTGCTGCCTTGAAAAGAACAACAAGTGCATTCCAGTTAATAAAAATTTGGAAGGCCTGGTTCAAGTTTTCTGTAAGCCTGAGTTTTCACTTAAAGTATTTACTTTTTTTACAGTTACTTTAAAATGGAAAAATTCTGATTTGTCTAGCTTGCAAACCTCTAGAGATTGCTCAATATTATGCAGTATATGCAGTCAAGGAAGAAATAGGTTATTAAATAAAAGTATGAAAAAGGGAACAAGCTCAAAACTGAAATTTTGCCAAATATGTTTCTGTGAAATTGCTAAAGGTAAACCCCACAAATGTTCCCCTTTAAAGAGTAGCACAAATCTTTCTGAGAGTATTTCTAAAATTTCTAAAAAAGTAAAAGAACAAGTAGTTTCTATTTCTAGTAATTTCTAAAAAAGTAAAAGAACAAGTAGCTTCTTCCCTTCTAAAAGAAATTTATTCTGATCAAGAACCAAGTCCAGGAGCTCAAGCCATTCTCAGAACAGGTAAAATATTGTTAAATAAAAATAGCTGTTATGTACGTTTTTAAAATAACAGTTTATATTATATTAAGGAGGTAAAAGTATTCATATTACACTCGGTACTCGGGAAAGTGACCAGAGAAAGATTCCTTATAATGAAGTAGAAGTTTTAGTAAATACCTTAGGACTTAGTCAATTGAAGTCATACGAAATGTTAAAAACATTGAGGAGAAGCGGCGTAAAGTTTGAGTCAAACATAGAGAAAGCCCTGGATGAAAAAAGTAAACTACTTTCCAACTTTTATGTCACTGAATTATTAGACTTTCAAGAAAAGGAAAAAGATAATGACTATGCTACAGTGAAGAGACACTTGGTATATATTGAAGATATTACAACATTTCTGGATTTTGTAATGAAATATCGAGGGCAGGTTCCACAAAACACATTTGTAAAGGTTGGAATAGATTCAGGTATTTATATTTAACTTATTTAATTTATATTACTTATTATATTTTAATAATTGTTTTTTTTAAAAACTTGTTTTTAAAAATATTATTTGTACATATTTATTTACAAATATGTATGTGTGTAAGCATATATATATTTATAGGTGGAGGATCACTGAAAGTTATAGTAAATCTGTTTGATCCAACCAAGGACAGGACAGAAGATAGCAGCTCCTTAGGATCATACTCAGGAGCAAATACGTCACTTGTTTTAGCTTATTGTGAAAGGGTAAGTGAGAATCATTCTAACATGACAATGATTGTGGAAAAATTAAAATTGCATGAATGCAAGTACTCATTGGCTTCTGACATGAAGTTAATCAACATATTGCTAGGAATTTCGGTGTGTTTATTTTAAATAATTTTAAGATAATAAGGCATATTATGGTAAAAACTATATTAGGAAAAGGTTTTTTTTACCCTACAATATATTTATAAATTGAATTATAATATAAAATTTTAGGCTCATGGAGGAAAGTATGCTTGTGCATGGTGTGAAGGTTCTTCAGAATTATTTTCTGGAGAGTTAAGAACATTTCAATCTTTGAATAATTACTATGAACTGTATTCATCTGCAGGATCTCCGGTGAAAAGAATGAAAGAATATAAGGTATAAATGAATAAATATATTGTAAATATTTTCAAAATTTATCATCCATTATAATTTTATCATTTGAAAAAAAATAAAAAAAATTTATTTCCATATATTTAGAATGTCATTAATCCTTGTCTGCTTAAGATAGAAGACAAATCTCTAAGTATAATAAGAGAGATTCCATTACCAGAACTTCACCTTCTGATGGGATTCGTTAACCATGTGGCAGAATTTATAATGCAACTTTGACCTGGATTTATAGATTGGGTCAAAAGCATTGGATGCCTTCGAAAAGGTTACCATGGAGGAACATTTGAAGGAAACACGTGTAGAGAGATACTTAAAAGTTGCGACAAACTTGAGTTGATAATTCCTGTTGAACTGTATCCTCTCTTAGAAACAATGAGAAAATTTAATAAGGTTGTTCATGGTGTCTTTAGCTATAAACTTGACCCAAACTATTCAATTTTAATTGAAAGTTTTACACAAAGCTATAAGGATGCACAAGACTATTGCAGAGAGGTAATTGCTGTTTTCTTTACCCTTTGCATTTAAAACCAAGTTATTGATAAACATATTTATAGTAAGCTTTTTTAGTTTTTAGGTAAACAGCTCACGGTTACTTGGAAAGTACATGCTGTAACAGCACATCTGGAAACATTTGTTGATTTGAGTGGCCTTTCCCTTAGGCAGTTTAATGAGCAGACATCTGAATCTTGCCATTCCAAGATGAAAAGTGTAATAAACAGGTTTGGAGTCTCGCAGTACAGCAACAAACATAAAGAAAGAAGCAAAAGAATTGCTGAAGTGTTCAGTTCAAATAATTTATAAGTTATTGAACATTAATTGTACATCAAAACATAAACATTATTGAAATCTTAAAGTTAAAAAAATTTGTAAATTTATTCAAAAAGACACTAAAAATACATTAGTATAAACAGTTTTTGAAATATTTTATTTAGTATTTATTATACTTTTATTATTTATATATATTAGGTTATTAGGCAACTATGCATACAATACTAATATTTTACTAAATTACTTATATACTATCAATATGTTCTACTTTACTAAGCATACTATGTTCCTAATATAATTCAAGCATATCTAAACCTTTTTCACCAACTTAGATATATCTAAGAGCTGTCTAATAAAGTTGATGTGTAAATACAAAATTTAAGAGCATAAAAACTTGGAATATAAAGTTATTTTATGTTAATTTTACTGTTCCGTCAATATATTTAGTTTTTTTAAGTACGAAAATAATGACTTTTTAGCAGATTTTCTATGTCAATTTTCTAAAAATGTGATACCTCCCAGATTTTTCTAAATATGAAAATGAAGTGTTCAGATGCCCCACTTACTATATTTGTTAACATTTTTGGGGTACTCGGATAGTAAACTTAAACCTTAAATTTCTGACCTGTGTAGGGTGGATCGATTTTCATAGCAAAAAAAAAAAAAGTTTAAAAATCAATATTTCTGAGACACGAATCGATGTCTATTAATTATAAGATGAAAGTTAAAAAATATTTTTTGATTTTGATGAGATCTTGAGGTTCCTCTTTAAATTCTAAATCCTTGACGGATCCTAATATTTTTTAATTATATTTTTTTCTAAACTATATCAACCTTGGACTCAAAAAAAGCAGAAAAAAAATGCTTGTTTTATCAATAATAATTTTATTTAAAAAAATTTTTTAGTGAAAAAAATATTTGCAAAAATATGCCTTAAAACCCCCGTTTTGATGAAGACAGGGGTTTTTTAATAAAAAAAAAAAAAAAATTTTTTTTTCTTTAGTTTTTAATTAAAATAAATATTATTTTCAAAATAAGCGTGTTATTTTGCTTCTTTTGAGTACCAGGTTGATATAGTTTAGAAGAAAAAAAATTTCAACAATATACAACATTAGGATCCGTCATAAATTTAGAATCCTAAGAGGAACCTTTAAAACTCATTTAAATTTAAAAAAAAAAAGTAAGGTTCTTTTTTTACCAAAAGACATCGATTCTCAGCTCAGGCAAATCAAATTTCAAAAATTTTAAAAATCAATCCACCCTAATAACCACATTGTAACGAAGTTTCTCAAGTTAGTATGCAACTCAAAAATTAAAAAACAACATTTTTTTCTGTTTTACCATAAAAAAACTTTTCTCATTGTAAAACAGAAGAAAAAAGTTTTATAACAAAACCAAAAATAATAAAATTTGTCACGTACTTTATTTGTACATTTTGCAATCGTATATTAAAAAAATCCAAACCGACACTTCTAGTTTCTTTTCCGACTTAAAACCTGTATAAACACGTGTTTGTCACGATCGAGCCGTAAACCAAAAACACTTGTATATTACGGCGAGTTTAACACGTGTTTTTTGAGGTTATAAAGTCAAATTTAAATGTTGCATGCTTGTATCAGTGGTTTACGCTTCCTTAATGGTGAAACCATTACTATTTTAACTGGTATTTAGGGTAAATAGTAATAGTTAATTTTACGGAATAAAAAATATTTTTGATACTCTGATTATAGATTTCATTCAATCCATTGAGCTTCACTTCAATCCATTGAGCCTCACTTGCTTTTTGAGGTAATGAACCACTTATTCATTTCCTTCGCCTTATCTGCCTTATAGTCTTATATTGCTTATTTTATTTTTTTAAAAGGTTTTAGACAAGCAACAGAAACCAAGCGTAACTTATTTCTGAGCAGTGCCGGCTGGGATAATTGATCTACTTCTGATAAAGAAATTGTTAAAAGGTTGGGTTTCCTTTATAAAGAGTTATGCGAAGAAAATGATTCAGTTATGACCAATCGTGGGTTTACCATTTGCATTTACAAACAGTTAAAATTTTAATCATTTAAAAACAATCTTAAATCGAATATACCACCTTTTCTAATTATACAATTACTGCTAAGTAAAGAAAATGAAACAGAAAGTCAAAAGCATTTTTAGAGTTCATGTAGAATGAACCAAAATAAAAGTATATTGCCACATAATTCAAGAAACTCCTTTTGTATTTCATAGGTCAGTTAACCAACTATGAACAGTCACTTGTCTGTTATGTAACTTTCTCTACCGGCTTAACAAAAATATTATCACAAGTCAAAAATAAAAATATTGTTTTACATGGGTAATATTATTTCTTGATTATTAACATCATTATCCAATAATTGTGGGAGGAAATTTGTAACTAATTAAAAAAAAATTCATTGTTAAAAGGTGTTCTTATAATAGCATTTCACATACATGTTTACACAACTTTGGGATTGTCCATTAATTACGTCAGCAAAATAGGGGGAAGGAGGGTATGAACTTTTTCGATAGTTGTTGACAAAGGGGAGGGGGGAGGTCAATCAAAGTTGATGTTAACAATTTTTTTTTTATTGAGTTTCATTGCTTAAATAACAGAAAATTTGTAGCGTATCTTCTTTGTATAGGGAGGGAGGGGGGGGGGGAAATCAAAAATTGACATATTTTTATAGGGGGGAGGGGTCTCTGGAAATTTGACAAATTGTTGACAAGGGGGAGGGGGGGGGAGGTGAAAATTTCATAAAATTTGTTGACGTAATTAAAGGACAGCCCGTATGTCAAAAAATTTTACTTAACTTTATTGCTATTTGTATTTGTTGTATATGTGTATAAACAGTCGGGTAATTTTTTTTTAAATATGGTTAATCCAATATCAGATAGATTAGTATATATCTATATCTATCTATCTATCTATCTGTATTTATATACATATATATATATATATATATATATATATATATATATATATATATATATATATATATATATATATATATATATATACATATATATATATATATACATATATATTTATTTATTTATTTATATATATTTATATATATATATATATATATATATATATATATATAATATATATATATATATATATATATATATATATATATATATATATATATATATATATATATATATATATATATATATATATATATATATATATATATATATATATATATATATATATATATATATATATATATATAGGCCCCTCAAGTATGTTAGTGTGTTCTACATATAGAGTATTCAATGTTCTTAAAGAATTCAATAATAATAAAATAGTAAAAACACTTATCTAACTTTTTTCTTCGACAGGCTGTACGTATAAAATTAGGAAACTTGTATGATTGGAACACTTTTTTCTCATGCAATTGCACGATTTTCAAATTACTTCTATCCAGCCGGCATTTAGTCTTAAAAAGACGTCATTTTAGGACCAATTGCAAGCTGGGTAATACGCGTGTGTTGTCAATTTGATAATGGCTGCGTGTTCAGAAAAGAAACAATTTTTTATTCGTAAATCAAATCTTACAAAAATATTATTCTTTGGTGGAGTTTTTGGTGTTGTGGGTGGGGGAGGGATGTTGAAATATTTTTGTATTTTGTATCTTATTCGTGTCTACGTAAAAAAACAAGTTCCTCCGTTTCTAGGGTATTTTAGAACTTTCAGATTTTGGTGGTGGTGGTATGGGGGAGGGGATCATACCCCAGGATCCGCCACTGGTACGAGGCCCATAATCCCAAAAAGTTTGCGCAAACCAAAATTGTCGATTTGACGATTTATTGCAAACTAATAGTTATTATTGATTAATTTGCCGTCAACTTATTTAAGCAAAAACAATTTGCTGTCAACTTATAATTTTAACTAATAATTTATAATTTAAGCAAAAATTGTTTTTGGGTTTAGTCAACTAAAATCTAAACTACTGAAACTTTAACAAAAATTTTAAAAACCAAAAAAAAGTTTTTTTCACTTCAAAAACATTTTTTTATATTTTAAACTCATTTGAAGAAAATTAAAAAAAAGTAACAACAAACGGGTATTACCTTACAAGTTTTTAGGAACAGCGGACAAAAAAATTAGATCGAGGTGATCGAGGAGCCATCGTACTTTTTTTGCGTTCTTAAAAAGTTTTGCTTTTTTGCTTGGAATTTGTAATTGCACGGAAGTTATTTTGCAGCATTAGAATATATTGTCAAAAATGCTAACCAGCTTATAATTAAAATTTAGTTTTGTCAATAAATCACTTGTTAATTGAAATCTTAATGGTTTAATCCTTTTTGAATGAAATTTTTAAGACAATAACTTAGATAGAGATTCCATTGTTTCTGAAGTAAACGTCACATATTTTTAATAACAATAAATAAAGGCATTACATATTTGAGAAATTGTTCAAACATTTATAATACAGAGAATTCTTCTAAGAAAATGTCACCGCTAAAACTGAAAAACTTATTTAAAAAGAAAAGTTTAGATCTATTTTAGGAACTTAAAAATATTTTTCTTATTTATATCCTTGATCTATCTAAAGCTTTAAAATTCTGCAGGGTGCAGCACTATGCTGACGATAAAAACTTTCTTTGCAAACCCGTCAAAGAAATTAATGAACCTTTAAAAACTGTATAATTGATTAAACGCCAATAAAGTTTCTTTTAATACAAAAAAAGACTGATCTTTAAAAGCAAACAAAAAGTGTTAAACATGAAAATCAGTATTAAATTAAATGGGAAAAAACATTATTGCAAGGAGTTTGTAAACTATTTAGAAATAGATGAGACTTACCTGTTTTTACTAGATGAGACTAGATGAGAACTTTACCTGTTTTAATCATTATAATAAAATTTTAACTAAATTAAACAGCAGAAAATAAGACATCACTTTTGTTGATGAAAATATCTTGAAATATATTTTTCACGCCTAATTTCATTCTCATTTAACATATAGGTTTGCGGCCTGGGGTCGAAACTTATCAATTGTAAATCGTCTATGGATTTAACAAAAAGAGGCTACTTGAATAATTAAATTTCTTCAATACAGTTCTAATACAAATACATAATTAAAGCCTTAACTTTAAGTAAAACTATAAAAAATTCGTAAATCATCGCC